GACAGGGACAGATGGCCATTCCCAAGGAGACCCGACGTGGGATGATATGATGAGAGATTTCGAGCGATTCAAAAGGGGCATGAAACCATATTGGAGGGAAGCTGATCATTCCGTAATGCATGTCGGAGAGGAAGTTCATCCTGTATGTTGAGCCTAGGTGACCATCGTCGCGGCCACGCCCCTCCATAGCAGACCTGGACGAGTCCACGTCTACTAGGGGGGGGGGCGTGGTTCCGACATCAGACTCACCGTGCATCCATTTCATGTTATTCGTTTCATGTTATTAATGATGACAAGAAATTTCGCGATCTCCTTGGACGTGTCGCACTTTCGTCCTGAAGAGCTGAACGTGCGATTGGAAGGACGAGAGCTTATCGTCGAGGGAAAACAGGATCGTAAAGACGAACACAATTCCATGGAAAGGCAGGTTCTCACCAATCGAGCTCAGCTAGTTTACTTATTTATTTATTTGTTTACTTAGTTTATTTATTTTTATAATCATCCTCATTTAGGTCATTCGTTCGCAAGTGGACGGTTCCGGATGATGTCAATCTGGACGCAATTTATTCAAAGCTCAACGTCGTCGGCCACTTGTCCGTCGAGGCTCCAAAGAGAGCAGTGGAGATTCCACCGAGCAGAACAATTCCAATCATGCCGAGCACTGCCCCCAGTAACTAATTACTTCTTACCGCTCAATGCTAAGCTTTTCTATAAATGTGCATGGATCTTTGCTTGATGACAATTTTATTGATTCAAGAAGTGCTTTTCTACTCAATAAAGTTGGAGATTACGATAGTAAGATTTAAGCTAGATCTAAGCTTTTGTTTGGGATTATAAGAATGAAATTCCATTGGCTTGTCAGTGTTTCAAGGGTAGAAAGTGGTGATACATAGCTGGTGAGCGATATCTTTCCAGTAGCGATGCGTAATATCACCTGTATCACCTGTCGTCCCGTTGATCATCGAATTGCTCGAGCGGGCGCCAGCAACGTCTCCATTCGTCCCTGTCGCGTGCTAGAGTGGTCCAGTGGATCCTCCTTGCTCGGGACACACGAGTCCATCATTCCTTTCGTTCAGAGCTTTCGTGAAGAAGTCTGACCATCGGGCCGGCGGTCGTCCAGGTGTTCGTTTGACGTCCCGAGGGATCCAGTCGGTAACCGCTCTGGTCCAACGGTCATCGCAAAATCGCATGACGTGTCCGGCCCACCTTATCTTCGATTCCTTGGCGAAAACGGCAGCGTCCCTGATCTTCGATCGTTGGCGTAGTTCGGCACTCCGGATTCCCCTCTGCACTTGCGTGTATAGGGTTACTCCTAGCATCGTCCTCTCGACAGCGCGTTGGATAACGCTGACCGCATGCTCGTCCTGCCTGCGCAGAGTCCAAGTCTCTGAGGCGTAGGTTAGGGCAGGAAGGACAGCGGAATCGAAGAGGTGGGCACGGAGCCGGATGTTCTTCGTCTTCTTCACTACTCCCTCGATGTTCTTGTACGCTCCCCAAGCCGCTCGTTTCCTCCTGCTCAGCTCTGGAGCTAGATCGTTCATCATATTGATTTCCCGACCTAGGTACACGTAGCTGGAGCATTCGGTGATGTTCGTTCCGTTGAGCGTGAATGGGGCATCAGGAACCAATCCGTTTCTCATAAACATCGTCTTCGTTAGGTTTCAGCTGTAGACCAACCTTACCACAGGCGCAGTCGAAATCAGCCAGCATTCGCTCCGCTTGCTCGATGTTCGGCGTTATAAGAACGATGTCGTCAGCAAAACGAAGGTGGTGTAGTTGCCGGCCGTCGACCTTCACTCCCATGTCTTCCCATTCCAGTTGACGCATGACGTTCTCGAGAGCGGCGCTGAAGAGTTTGGGCGAGATGGTGTCGCCCTGTCGGACCCCTCTCTTGACGTCGATGATGACCTCCTTGTAGAATGTGCTGTCGCTGTCTTAAGTGCTGTTACGAGCTCACCGCAAGAATCTTGATGTACTGAGTAGGGACGCCCTGGTTGCCCAAGGCTTCGATGACCGCTTCTGTCTCCACAGAGTCGAAGGCCTTCTTCAAGTCGATGAATGTGAGACAAAGCGGCATCTTGTACTCCCGTGAAACTTCAATGAGTCTCGTAACCGTGTGGATATGGTCGATCGTGCTGAACCCTCTTTCGAACCCTGCTTGCTCGCATGGCTGTCCTTCATCTAGTATTCTGCCGATCCTGTTAAGGATGACTCGTGAGTGAATAGCTTGTAGATTACAGACAGCAGGCAGATTGGGCGATAGTTGCCAATGTCGTCCAAGTCTCCCTTCTTGTACAGCAACACGGTCCTGCTGGTTTTCCACGGAGTGGGTACCTTGCATTCCGACAGGTAGCGCGTGAAGAGTCGAGCCAGAGTTCTGATGATAACTGGCGGTGCGTTCTTCAGATGTTCCGGTTTAACCCTGTCGAGACCGGGCGCTGTACAATTCTTCACCGACTTGATGGCGTGTCGGACTTCGGAAGAGAGAACTGAAGGGACAACGTATCCATCCTCTCGCGGTTGATAAGTAGGCAGATGGACATGGCTATCGAAGAGATCCGAGTAGAAGTCGTGGATGACTTTCTCCATTGCCCTTCGGGATGCAGTAACTGTTCCATCTGGACGTCGGAGGCAGGTCATCTTGGTCTTGTAGCTGGCATAGCTTCGGCGGGCATTGCGGATGCTCCTCCCAGCCTCTGCTGCTTCAGCTAATACTGCTGCTCTTCGCTCCTTGAGATCTTCCTTTATCGCCTCTCTGCATAGCTTCGCAAGCTCGGACGTGAGTTGGTGATTGCCTGCAGCTCGTGCGGCTCCACGCTGGCGTATCAGTTCGAGAGTGCCCGGAGACAGACGTTCCTTGGTGACT